GTTCCCATATCTGTGACGGTGATGGTGATGTTGTACTCGGCTCTTTCCTCTCTGTCCAGTGCTTTTTCTGCAACTAGAGTGAAAAAGTTCTTGAAGGTCCGTTTCAGAAAAAATGGGAGGTCATCCTGAATAGAGCAAACGACCCTCCCATTTTCCCCAGCGTCTTGGTCTCGGACACTAAAAAGAGCCACAAGGGTCTCTGAGGCGTTCTCTGGAATTATCTTTGTAATTGATGACATGGTCACTTCTGGTGGATTGTCATTTATATCTATTACTTTAACCAGAAGAGTGCATTCTTCCGAAAGACCCCCACCATCTGTTGCCTGAATATTTATAATGTGTGACTGTATTGCTTCAAAGTCCAAGTGTGATCGCAAATGAACTTCCCCAGATAGTGGATTGATTTCAAATGTTTTACGAATATCTTCTGATGCATGAAAAAATGTGTAAGATATTTTCCCATAGTTTCCTGCATCCAAATCCTTAGCAGAGATGGTGATAATCCAAGAGCCAACAGGTGTGTCCTCCAGGACCTGCACCTCGTAGAGCCTCTGAGGAAACTCTGGGGCATTGTCATTGATGTCCAAGACCTTGATGAGGACCAAAGTTGTCCCAGACCTGGGCGGGGATCCACCATCCAGTGCTATGAGTGTTAATCTGAGCTCAGGCTCCTCCTCATGGTCCAACGCTCTGTGCAGGACTAGTTCAGGGTATATCTTTCCATCACCACTGTCTTGAATTTTAATGTGGAAATGAGAATTCGGGCTAACTGTGTAGTTTTGGAGACTGTTGCTTCCTACATCCAAATCTTGGGCACTCTCCATTAGGAATGTGGTTCCAATAATGGTACTCTCTGATATTTTAATAACTATTTCCTTGTCAAGAAATGTAGGGGAGTGATCATTTATATCTTTGATATGCAGCTCAGCCCGAAAAAACTGTAAAGGGTTTTCCAGTACCATCTGAAAATGCAGAACACAGGGCTCCGTGGAGTCACACAGCTCTTCCCGGTCCAGTTTCTCATTTACGAGCAAATCCCCGGTCAGCAAATCGAGGTGCAAATGCTTTTCATTATCATCACACACTACCCGCGCCTCCCGCGAAGAGAGCTTCTCCACCCCAAGCCCCAGATCCCTTGCCAGATTGGCCACAAAAGAGCCAATTTCTGTTTCCTCTGCCACAGAATAGCGCACAGACTCAGGACCTGCCTGAGACAATCCCAGTAAAACAAAGATAAACAGAACTTGCCTTTTCCGCAGAACGAGTGCCCCTCTGATCTCCATGGTTTCTTCAAGAAACCTCTTTTGTAGAAAAATTTAAGTTCAGCTCTAATTTTGCAAACTGAGGCTCTGATTCTTTTTTTAGTTGGAAACTTCTAGAGAGTATATAAACCTCCAGCAGGTCTGTAGGTGAAGCTCCTTAATATCTCTCTTTTCAGTGGGTTGGATGTTCTCTGTTCCCGTGAATAATGGAGCCCACAGTGTTGTAGAAGCACTCTTTTCATCTTATCCTGCAGCGCCACCATGTGTCTCTATGAATTTTTTCAGTAGAATTTTTTTTTTTCTCTTTGAACAAGTAATTCATAAATTCATCTGGAGTATTTTAAAGCAAATCCCAGACATCACGTATTTTTACCTCTAAATACTTCACTAAGTATCTGTAATAGATAAGGACTTTAAAAATATATATTATACCACTATCACAATCTACAAATTTAGTGCTGGTAGCTTAATATAATTTATATTCAATCTGTGTTTGTTTTTACACATTTTCCTCCAAAATATGTTTTACTATTGGTTTGTTTGAATCAGTATTTAAACAAGGTTCATGAAGTGCACTGAATTATCACTGTTTTGAATGCCCGACAAGAGGAACCATTAAAATGTCCTGAACTGAAGAAATGATATTTTATTCAGGCCATTTATTGAGTAATTGCAAATATATCCTCCCCTACACTCTTGTAAACACTTATAGATTTCAGTCGATTATAGTTAGTAATGTCATTGCTTTTTTCACTTGTATATTTTTAAAAATACATATGTGCGTCTTTATGGAGCTCACAGTCTAGAAAATTTGTCAGGCAAGTAATTAAAATATGCCAGAATGTATGCACAGGTAAATAGTAATATATAAATACCAAGAACGGACATCTTATACCTAGGAGACAGCATTGCATAGTGGTTATGAACATGGATTCTGGAACCAAAATGTCTACATTAGAATCCTAGTTCTCCTACTCACTATCTTAAGTCTTGGGCAAGTTATGTACCTCTGCTTCCTTAACTGTAAAATAGGGATAATAATAGTGTTTACCTCGTAGGATTATTATCATAGGAATCTAATGAGTTAATTTTTACAAAGTGGCTAGTAAGTGCTTGTTAAGTGCCTGTTAAAATAAATAAAATCTAATCCATATTTTTGGACATCACTGAAACCTTTCCTAAGGTATTGAACTACAAGTTGTGATCTGGAGGAGCCATTCAGGAGAAGTTTTTTGTTTTGTTTTTGTTTTTTTTTTGCGGTACGCGGGCCTCTCACCGTTGTGGCCTCTCCCATTATGGAGCACAGGCTCCGGACGCGCAGGCTCAGCGGCCATGGCTCACGGGCCCAGCCGCTCCGCGGCACGTGGGATTCTCCCGGACCGGGGCACGAACCTGTGTCCCCTGCATCGGCAGGCAGACTCTCAACCACTGCGCCACCAGGGAAGCCCGGGAGAAGTGTTTTGAACGGATATTTTAAGGAAACTGGGAAGTTAAATATGCCTCAAGCTTTAAACCATGGAAGGGGGAGAATGTTAAAATGAGGTTGGGGGAAAGAAGCAGAGTAAGGACATAAACAATTATATGAGTTACAGCATGCATTTTAAAATTTATCCTAAAGGCACTTATAATACAATGTAGGATCTTAAACAGTTGATTAACATAATTATACCTGCAGTTTTGAAAAATCAAAATTGGCTGAAGTATGATAATCAGTTTCAGGGGGAATAACTGGAATCAGAGAGACCAGTTAGGAGGTGATGGTAGCCTGGATGAAGGTAATACTAGTGTCGATAAGGAGAAGCGGGGTGATTAGAAAGATATTTAGAAGATACAAATATTTAAGACCCAGTGATTGATGGCTTGCATGGGGAGAAAAAGTGGAAAGACTCAAAGATAATGAACACCTCTCTGGGTTGGGTACTGATGGTTAGTGCATCATTCACTAAGACAGGGAATGCTGGCAGAAAAAAACAACAACCAAGATTGAAATGGAAAAAGATAAAGTTAGTTTGGGACATGTTGATATTGAGGTAAGTGCCTGTGGAATGTGTGTGTGTGTGTGTGTGTGTGTGTGTGTGTGTGTGTGTGTGTGTACATATATAACTGAAACACAGAAAACAAATCTGGGCTGGAGATATGGACTTTGAGATTCATCAGCATGTACAGGCATACCCCAGAGATATGTTGGGTTCCATTCCAGACCACTGCAATAAAGTGAGTATCTCAATAAAGTGAATCACAAATTTTTTTGTTTCCCAATGCATATAAAAGTTATGTTTACACTATACTGTAATCTATTAAGTGTGCAATAGCATTATGTGTAAAAATAAAATGTACATACCTTAACTTAAAAATACTTTATTGCTAAAAAATGTTAACTATCATCTGAGACTTCAGCAAGTCGTAATGGTTTTGCTGATGGAAGGTCTTGCCTTGATGTTGATGGCTGCTGACTGATCAGGATGATGGTTGCTGAAGGTTGGAGTAGCTGTGGCAATTTCTTAAAATAAGGCAACAATGAAGTTTGCTGCATCGATGGAGCCTTCCTTTCATGAACAGTTTCTCTGTAGCACGTAATGCTGTTTGATAGCATTTTACCCACAGTAGAACCTCTTTCAAAATTGGAGTCAATCCTCTCAAACTCTGCCGCTACTTTATCAACTAAGTTTATGTAATATTCTAAATCCTTTGTTGTCATTTCAGTAATCTTCACAGCATTTTCCCCAGGAGTAGATTTCATCTCAAGAAACCACTTTCTTTGCTCATCCATAAGAAGCAACTCCTCATCCATGAGAAAGTTTTACCATGAGATTGCAGCAGTTCAATCACATCTTCAGGCTCCACTTCTAATTCTAGTTCTCTTGCTATTTCCACCACAACTGAAGTTACTTCCTCCACTGAAGTCTTGAACCCCTCAAAGTCATGAGGGTTGAAATCAATTTCTTCCAAACTCTTTAATATTGATATTTTGATCTCTTCCCATGAATCATGAAATTCTAATGGCATCCAGAATGGTGAATCTGTTCCAAAAGGTTTTCAGTTTCCTTTGCCCAGATCCATTAGAGAAATCACTATCTTTGGCAGCCAAAGCCTTATGATATTTATTTCTTAAATAGTAAGACTTGAAAGTCAAAATGATTCCTTGATCCATGGGCTGCAGAATGGATGTTGTGTTAGCAGGCATGAAAACAACATTAATCTGGTTGTACATCTCCATCAGAGCTCTTGGGTGACCAGATGCATTGTCGATGAGCAGTAATATTTTGAAAGGAATCTTTTTCTGAGCACTAGATCTCAACAGTGGGCTTAAAATACTCAGTAAACTATGTTGTAAACAAGTGTGCTGTTACCCAGGCTTTGTTGTTCAGTTTAAAGAGCACAGGCGGAGTAGCTTTAGCATAATTCTTAAGGGCCCTAGGATTTTTGTAATGGTCAATAAGCATTGGCTTCAACTTAAAGTCACCAGCGGCATTAGCCCCTAACAAAAGAGTCAGCCTGTCCTTTGAAACTTTGAAGCAAGGCGCCTACTTCTACTCTCTAGCTATGAAAGCCCTATATGGCATCTTCTTCCATATTAAGACTATTTCATTGACATTGAAAATCTGTGATATAGTGTAGCCAACTTCATGAATTATCTTAACTAGATCTTCCTGATAACTTGCTGCAGCTTCTACATCAGAACCTGCTTCACCTTGCACTTTCACATCCTAGAGACAGCTTCTTTCCTTAAACCTCATGAACCAGCCTCTGCTAGCTTCAAATTTTTCTTCTACTTCTTCCTTACTTCTCTCAGCCTTCATAGAATTGAAGAGAGTTAGGGCCTTGTTCTGTATTAAGCTTTGTTTTAAAGCAATGTTGTATCTGGTTTGATGTTCTATCCAGGTCACTAAAACTTTCTCCATATCAGTAATAAGGCTGTTTCACTTTATCATTCATGTGTTCTCTGGAGTAGCACTCTTAATTTCCTTCAAGAACTTGTCCTTTGCGTTCACACTTGGCTGTTTGGTGCAGGAGGCCTAGCTTTCAGCTTGTCTTGGCTTTCAGCATGCCTTTTTCACTAAGTTTAATCATTTCTGTCTTTTGATTTAAGGTGAGAGACATGTGACTCTTCCTTTCACTTGAACACTTAAGGCAAATTGTAGGATTATTAACTGGTCTATTTTCTTTAAAAATTTTTTTTTAATTAATTTATTTTATTTTTGGCTGAGTTGGGTCTTCATTGCTGCGCGAGGGCTTTCTCTAGTTGTGGCGAGCGGGGGCTACTCTTCGTTGAGGTACGCGGGCTTCTCAGGCTTCTCGTTGCGGTGGCTTCTCTTGTTGTGGAGCAGGGCTCTAGGCACGTGGGTTTCAGTAGTTGTGGCTCGTGGGCTCTAGAGCGCAGGCTTAGTAGTTGTGGCACACAGGCTTAGTTGCTCCGTGGCATGTGGGATCCTCCCAGACCAGGGATCAAACCCGTGTCCCCTGCATTGGCAGGTGGATTCTTAACCACTGCGCCACCAGGGAAGTCCCTTAACTGGCCTATTTTCAATATTCTTGTGTCTCAGGGAATAGGGAGGCCCAAGGAGAGGGAAAAAGATGGGGAACATCTAGTTGGTAGAGCAGTCAGAACACACATTTATCTATTAAGTTCACTGTCTTATATGGGTATAGTTCATGGTGCCCCCCCCAAACAATTACCATAGTAACATCAAAGATCACTGATCACAGATCACCATTATATTTGTTTTATTATAACAAATATAATAAAATGAAAAGTTTGAAATATTGTGAGAATTACCAAAATGTGACACAGAGACGTAAAGTGAGCAAATGCTTTGGAAAAATGGTGTCGATAGATATGCTCATTGCAGGGCTTTGAATTTGTAAAAACTTTCAATTTGTAAAAACACACAATATCTGCAAAATGCAATAAAGTGCAATAAAATGAGGTATGCCTGTGTATGGTGTTTGAAACCATGAGATCTCTACGAGAACCAAGTAAAAGTGTGTCAAATAAGAATAGAAGAGGCTTAGCACAGAACTCTGAGAAACATCTTCATTTAAAGGAGAGGTAAGGAAGCGGTTTTTTTTTTTTTTTTGCGGTACGCGGGCCTCTCACTGTTGTGGCCTCTCCCGTTGAGGAGCACAGGCTCCGGACGCGCAGACTCAGCGGCCATGGCCCACGGGCCCAGGCGCTCCGCGGCATGTGGGATCTTCCTGGACCGGGGCACGAACCCGTGTCCCCTGCATCGGCAGGTGGACTCTCAACCACTGCGCCACCAGGGAAGCCCAGGAAGCATTTTTTAAAAAAAAGACAAGGAAGATGCAGAGTTCAGAATCATCAAACTAAAAGCAAATAGCATTTCAAGGAGATGAGGAAGATCAACAGTAGCAAATCCTTCAGAAAACTCAAGAAAAATACGTATTAAAATGGTCCATTGGATTTAAGAAGATGGTCATTGTGGAGGAGTCTGATAGATGTCTGCCAAAATCTGTTCTCCTTTTCTATATAGTAATAGAACTGTACCCAGGCACATGGTGACTCAGCCTTCCTTGTAGTTAGGTGTGGCTAATTAAGTTCTCACAGATTGTGAACAGAATTTTTATTTGCTACCTCTGGGTCTGGAATGGAAGACATCTGTATGTGTCTCTTCCCTCCTAGCCAGCTAGAACCCAGATGTGGCAGTGACCCAGCTACAAGTCATGTAGATTATACACTGAAACAGGGAATGTAAGAGGAATTACTTGGAACAAATTTTGGTTCCAGAAGGACCATGAGGAGCAAAGCTGCCCTATCTACCCAATCCTTTACATTGTGGCTGGTACAAGAAAGAGATACATACTTTTACAAGCCACTGTGTAGTTGTGCTGCTCTATTTCAGTAGTGTAACCTTACCTAACTTATACACAAATCTTTGATGAGCTTTACAATAGCAGTTTTCAGTAGAGTGGTTGTGATAAAAATTGGATTTCACTGGGATGAAAAGTGAGAGGGATAAGGAAATAAAAATGTCAATCCTTTTGAGAAATTTAGCTGCAAAAGAAAGAAGTAGATTGGTATCTGGAGGAGAATTTAGACTCAGGAGGGTTCTTTAAACCTAGAGAAATGTTTTTAAATGCTAATTTGCAGTATTGAGTAAAGAGGCAGAAAATTAAGATACACAAGAAAGGATGTAATCAATGTGAAGCCCCTAGAAAGTGGTCAAAATAGGATCCAGGGATCCTATATATGAAGGGAGTGGACTTAGGTGGAAGGGACCTCAGCAGAGGAAATTTTCCAAGTACATATGCTATCAAGAGTATAGGTTTGGGGACAGGAAATTGATATAATTCCCATCTGATGGATTCTGTTTTCTCTTTAAGGTATTAAGCAAGTTTGTCTGCTAAAAGGGTTGTGTAAGTAGTAGGGTGAGTAGTTTAAGGTAAGATAAGTAGGTTTGAAGTAGTTGTTATGGAGAATAAAAGAGAAAGCTGATTAGGAAAATACAAAAAGATTTCTTGATCTTGAAAGCCCAATTAAGTTTGGGTGTGATAAACTTAGTGGCAATAGTATTGATAATTTTCTAAGTTTGTCTTATAGAGTGCAGCATACCGGGTGTAAGAGAAAAGAGATAACTATATTCATCTCATGTGGAGTTTCATCAGGTGGTGAAGGAAATCCTAGAGTGAAGGCAAGTTGAACAAGAGAATTGAGAATATGAGCATGAAGTGATTGGGAGTGCTAAACAGGGAGTCAGCTGGATGGGAAGGAAATTAAAACAGGAGGGGGTTGATAGGTGGTAGTAGCATCATGGAATGGAGGTCATGACAAGGTCAAAGACAAGATGTGATAGGAGTAGCAAGATGAGAGGGCTAAAGGCATAGAAGGTTGTGTTCTCAGAGGGAGAGATCTGAAACCATATTTCATAGAAAGAACAGTTCTGGGTAGTGAAAAAGTACAGCATGTAGCCAAGGCACTAATGACAACTGGAACAGAGGACTGAGAGGCCATGTTAGATTAATCAGTGGATGCAGGAATGCAGTAGTAGGATAGGGACTTGAAGTAGAAAGGAAATGAGGAAAACAATGTGTTTGTAAGTGAAAATGTCCTTATGTCCTTTCTTTCCCATACTCTTGGCAAATTCCAACCTAAAGTGTTATTTTGTTCTTATTGGTAAGGGTTTTCAAGAAAATCATTTCTGGGAGGCTGAGCAGTCTCTTGCATCTCCATTTTGTAAGTGACCTCTTCCCATTGGACAACTTATAGTCCTTTAATATAAAATTGGCTGATACAGTTGGATTCCTATGCACTGGTTTATATTTAACTATAAATAAGGTATCTGAAGCATAAGAGCAAAATCTATTTTTAGCAATACATTGTAAGATAACTGGTTGGTTTACTTATATCTGGGCATCTGAGCTCCTGAAGGCCTGGCCTCTCTCCATTAGAGTCAGGAAACACATAGTTCTTTCCAGAAATAGGCAAGTCCTCCTGTTCAGATAGCTGGAAAAACTCTAAGCAAGAGGACAAGTACCTCGTCCTTTTCTCTGCTGTTGTGCCTGTTAGATTTTCTGCCTGAGCTGTTTAAACTGCTCTTTCCCCCTCCCCCATTATAGATGAGAGAGACCAAGCTTACTGGGGAAACAAGCTGCTAGAACACTCCCACCTTGGTTGTTGACAGCTATAACTGTATATCTCTTTAAGCTAGTAGTCCTCCATCTTTTCCCCACTAAGAACAGTAAACACAGGAGGTAACCTTAATACTTAATTTTGATTAATTAATATGAGTTTTTGTTCTCTATGTAAGGAAGCTTTCATTTAGGGAAGAAGAACTTACTCCAAGTTCCACTTCTGAAAACAGAAAATTAGAATTTAGTTAGCCTGCATGGAGAGACTTTTGTTCCCTCCATTTTTCTTGAATTCAAAGAGTAATTAATCAGTCCACACAGTTCAAAAGAACTGGTGGTGAAATTTTAGCATTCAAGGGCTGTAAACATTAGATTATTTTGGATATGTTAAAGCAAGAGGTTTGACTTCCAGGCATTATTAACTGACTAATACCCAGCCCCTCTAGAATATCTTCAAGAGGCAGTGCGTGGCATTGACTCCAGTCTGTGGTCCCACCTCAGGCATAAAAGCAATCATTTTACTCACCCTCATGCACCTCCTCTTTCTCATGCCTACTCTCTCTCTCTCACACACACTTCCTTTCCTTCTATACCCTTACTCATTTTGCTCATCTACATTTTCCTTCCACAACACACAGACTTTAGACTTTTTGATGAAATTCATTGGAAAGATCCTCCCCCAACAATGAAGGCTTTCTCTTCTGTAATATAGTCAGGTTACTAAAGGCAAGAGTGGTTGGTTGGTGCTTGTACAGCATGAAACAAAACTTCCTCCTACAATGACTTGAAAAAAGTTCGAAAATTAGAATGTTAAAGGACTATCTTTTCATACTTTTCAGTACTCTACAAATATCTGAGAAAAGTGGTTTTGAAACTTTGGATTGCTACCCATTAGTAGGTCATGAAATCAATTTAGTGGATCATGACCACATTTGAAAATTAAACAGAATGGAATAATACAGGCAATTTCAGATTGTATCACAAAAAAGCTAAGCACTGTTCACAAAACATTTCTTTCATATAAAACATGTATGTTATATAACATATACAATATAATTTTTCAGTTGCCTGTGATTTTTTAAAGTTTGAAAATTAGTGCCCAGTGTATATATATTAAATTCTGGGATAACACAGGAGGCAAAAAATTATACACATTAGCAAACAAGTCCACTCTACAATAAACAAATGATTACTAGGGAGCCTGTATTCAACTAGGTTGCATCATACCTTTGTAACATTAATGAGACATCTGGAAAATTATAACTTCATATCCCAGTATTCTGTGGGTGGCCACAATATTAATGTGTCTTCAGAATAACCCTCCAGGATGAGTAAAGAAGAGACACTAAGAAAATTGCCTTCTGCCCCATTCTAACAAGGTGTTTATGATTGTATCATAGGACATGATTTTTCAGGTATATTTTCAGCAGTAATAAACATTTTAAAATGTTAACTAAAACAGTGGTGAATTTAAAGAAAGAATGACATTTCTGAATAGCAACCATTATTCAACCACAAGAAAGAAAGAAAATGAAGAAATACTTGAACCCTTGAAATACTTTGAAAGTGGTCTGCTTTATTTTATCATAAGCATAATTGTGAATGAAAGTTCAACTGGAGAGAGGGCCATGAGCAAAAACTGATTTGGTGTTATTATTTAAGGAGGCAAATTAATTACAAATTAAGACCTCCTTGGTTAGAGAATAAATTGCTATCTAACTACAACCACAGGTAAAGATAAACATTCACTTAAAAGTAAAGGTGGGTAGAACATGCGAAAATATAAAAGTAACATCAATACAACTTCAAACACACATTTTGGGGGAAATAATGTTGGTGTGGAAGTGCCACAAAACAACATACCTATGAGATATAAAAGTTAATTATGGTCACTGAATATTGAACCCAAAGCTGTTGTAGAAGGTACGATTTTCTTCTATTTCCTTCCCAGGGCATTGGGGCGGGAGGTTGGGGAGAATCGGCTTCAAGAATTTGAACTCATTACTCTCAGAACCTCCCGTCAGACACACCTCGTACTGGTAGCTCTGGGACAGGGTCCC